ACCAAACCAGGGTCTGCTGCAAAGGCATGATGAGAACAGCCAGCAAGGCCAGAAACACCCAGTGTGCCCCGCCTGCATGGTCTGAGATCCGGGTGCTTGTCTGGCCAGGCACCTTCAGTGTCCTGGGAGCACATGGTACAGGGGCCACAAGTCCAGGAGAGACTTTGGGTGTGGGGCCAATACCCATGATGGGTGAAGAGGAAGTGACAGGAACACACTCAGACTAAAAAGGCGGGAGGGTGTACAGCTAAGACTTGGAAAGCCCAGGAGACCAGAGTGATAGTACAGCAGGTCGGGCATTTGCCTTGCACACAGCCCACACAGGTTTGATCCCCGGCATCCCATATGGTCCCCCAAGCACCACCAGGAGTAATTCCTGAGTGCAGAGCCAGGAGCAACCCCTGAGCATCGCTGGGTGTGACCTGAAAAGCAGGGGGAAAAAAAAAGACTTGGAAAGTCCAGCTGGACAGAACATCAGCAGTCACTGATAGCAAGGTCTCACCCTAGAGCTGATGCAACCACATCCATGGCAGGTGGGCATGGAGCCAGGACAGCGCCCCCTCAGCGGGCACTCAGGGGCACAGGAGGCCCACCTAATGGGCAGGGCTGGGTCCAGCGAGTGGGGTGCTCTGGAGTGTAGGGGGCAGGGCACGGGAAGAACAGGAGCCATGGAGTAAGGGGGACAGGAGGGTAGCCAGGGGCCAAGGCTACAGCAGTCTGCCCAGAGGCTCTTCCCAGGAGATGGTGACAGCAGGTGAGGCACGGCCTTGCAGGCAACCCACCCAAACTGAATCCCGAGAACCACCAGAACTGAGCCCTGAGCACAGAGCGAGAAGTGAAGTTGAGCACCACTGGCTGTGGAGCCAAAACTCAGAACGAAAGCAAAAAACACGGCCCAAAGGGCAGGGCCCTCTGAGTCCCCCAGAACTGCAAAGGCTCTCCCCATGTGGACGGCAGCCGGGGAAAGGGACAGCACAGAGCCAGTGCTGTGCTAGCCACCGAGATGCAGTCCCCGGACTCCTGCCTCCCAGCCTCTGGTACGGCCCTTCACTCGCTGCCCTGGGCTTCATCTCTCCCCATTCCAGACCCAGGTTTGGTGAACAACTTGGTAGTGGGGGATCACGGGGCCAGTGTCACCTGGATTTAAACAAGACCATCAAGATCTATAACTATAACTATTATTATTATTATTATTATTATTGGGCCAGAGCGATAGCACAGCAAGTAAGGCGTTTGCCTTGCACACGGCCGACCCAGGTTCGATTCCTCCACCCCTCTCAGAGAGCCCGGCAAGCTACCAAGAGTATTATTCTGCCCACAAACAAAGCCTGGCAAGCTACCCATGATGTATTCAATATGTCAAAAACAGTAACAACAAGTCTCACAATGGAGACATTACTGGTGCCCGCTCAAGCAAATCAATGAACAACGGGAGGACAGTGCTACAGTGTAGTGCTATCATCATCATCATCATCATCATCATCATCATCATCATCATTATTATGGATTGGAGTGATAGCACAGCGGGTAGGGCATTTGCCTTACATGCAGCCGACCTGGCCGACCCAGGTTCGATTCCTCCGCCCCTCTCAAAGAGCCCAGCAAGCTACCAAGAGTATCTCACCCGCACGGCAAAGCCTGGCAAGCTATCTGTGACATATTCGATATGCCAAACACAGTAACAAGTGTCACAATGGAGACATTACTGGGCCCACTCGAGCAAATCGATGAACAACGGGAAGACAGTGACAATGACAGATCATTATTATACGGCAGTGATGGGAAAGACGAGTAAGGAGAGGCTGCTAAAATCTCAGGGCTGGGACGAATGGAGAGGTTACTGGTGCCTGCTTGAGTAAATCGATGAGCAACGGATGACAGTGACTACTCAGTGGCTCAAAATTCACTGGACAGTAAGGTGATTGGACCAAATAGCAGGAAACAATTGCAGGAAACAAAAGGTCCCTTCCTTTTCCACAGGTACTACAAGCCCACACAATCCAGGTGTACAGTACTGAGGCTAATTCTTTCTCCTCCTCCTCCTCCTCCTCCTCCTCCTCTTCCTCTTCCCCTTCTTCCTCCTCCTCTTCCTCAGCTACCAGGAATTGCTACTTTAAAAACAGGAGCCGCAGAAATGTGGTCCAGAGCCAACCACTTAGCTTGCATTATCTGGGCTGAGAGCTCCAGAGGCCCCCCGCCCCCCTTGCTGGGCCACCCCCTCCTGCACGGCTTCCAGACCAGCCTCAGAACGCTACAAGTGATGGCCCCTGAGGTCCGGGGATGGAGGACTCGTGCGTCCCTGAGAGAGAAGGCAGAGATGACAAATGGACTTTCTCAGAGACCGTGACTAACATCACCTGGTTTTCTCCTTCCCTCCTCTCTCGGCTCTCCATCTCCCTCCTTAGGAAGGAAGCCTAGAGGCAGAGCGAGAACTCAAGGGCTAAGCACAGGCTTTGCATGAGGGTTCCTCCTCCTCCTGTCCCTACATGATCCCCCAAGCACTGCTAGGAGTGACTTCTGAGCACTGAACCAAGGGCAGCCCCCTTTTTTTTTTTTTTTTTGGTCCCTATGTGGGACCAAAAAAATAAAAACAAAAGACATATGCTTGACTCTCTCCCATCCCCAATCCCTCAGACGGCCCTCAGGGCCAAGAGGGGAGAGTTTATCAAGCCCCACAAAGATACACTACTTCTATAGGGGTGACCGGAGCAGCCCCCCACCATTGACACCCATCATAGTATCTATGCGACTTATGTACAGCGGGTTCTCAATGCTAGTCAATGAATGAATGAATGAATGAATGAGCAAATGAACTAACAAAGGAATAAATGAATCTCTGGGGCACTGTTTCCTGCCCCACCCAGCCATTCAGGCTCTTGGGGAGTGTGGGGGGAGAGGGGGAGTCTGGGGACCATCCCTGCAGATAACTATAATTCACTTACTGAATTATATATCTGAAGACAGATACATAGAGAGACACAAAGGGCAGACATGGGGTGGTCCCATGAGCCCTCAAGATGCCAAGGCAGAATGTGGGTCGGGGGATGGCCTCAAACATCCTGTTGGCAGTGGGGCAGCCCAAGCCAGGGGGTGGAGAAGAGGGAGCCCCAAGACAGCTGCCAGGCAGGGTGGGCACAAGCTGCAGACTGCACCAGGCCCTCGAAACTTTTTCCACAGGCCTGTTACTAGTGAAAAAATCAAGGCTCAGAAAGGTCAGGACACTGGACACTGGATGCTTTGAGAAGATACAGCCAAATGCTTTAAGCCACCAACAGCCACCTCAGTGTCCCAATCTGGACCCTGAGGAGATGGGATCAGAGGTTCTCCAAGGCGTCTTAGGGCAGAGGTGAGCCCCAGCACCTATGGGTCCATCGTCCTTTTTTTCCTCCTCCTCCTGGACCAGGACCCTGCGCTGGGGTTAGGGCACCCCAGGGAAGGGAGGGGTCCCCCCTCCAACCTTGGGAAGCAAGGAGAAGAAAGCGAGGTGCAGAAAGCGGTGGCTACCCTCCCTGCTTGGAATGCCAGGGGAAGTTCACCCGGAGTTTACAAACCTCCTTTGTCACGGCACTACAGGGAGCCATCAATCACCTCTTGACCCGCCTCCCTGTACGAGGGAGGGGCCCCACCGCCCTCACTGCCCGGCTCCATGTGCAGAATCCCCCCCAGGAATGCAGCCAGCAGTGATTGCAGTCCCGCAGGAGGGAGCAGAAGGGCTTGCTGAGGGCCTCCAGGAAACCTCAGGGGTCCAGAGAGAGACTTGTATGGGGTGTGTGTGGGGGGGGGGGGGGTGTAGAGGAACATGGGGCTGAACGGGAAGCACAGGCCAGGAAGCAGGGGATAAGGACACTAGGGTGCCCCATCCTGTGCCCAGGGGCAGCTCTCACAGTGTCACCCCTCACATGGACACATTCCTGCCCATCCCGTGTCTGTGTGTGTGTGTGTGTGTGTGTGTGTGTGTGTGTGTGTGTGGTGGTGGTGGTGGTGGTGGTGACAAGCCTCCCCCTGGCCAGGCCCCCTATCCCTCCCTACTGGAAATGCTGCAGCACAAGCCCACAGGACAGACCACGGGGGCAGCTGAGCCTCCTCCTGGTGTGCACCTCTCCGCGCGCACACCTCTGGCTCCATGGGCGGTTCCCTCCACTGTGGATGCTGTTCTGGCTTCCGTCTGCAGTGACCTCTCGGCTATCCCGGCACAGATGGCCCTGACGCTGATGTGTCCTTTCAAACTCCCTGGGCAGGAGAGGTAACTCATATCCTCGATCTGGGCCCCTGACATGGGACACGTCCCCCCCTCCCCTGCATAGCAGGAGGGTCTCTAAGCATCCTGCCAGCCGCAGGGGGACTCAGACCCCATGTCTGCCACCGTTTTTCCCACGTGCCTTAGCAATCTCTCCAGATTGAACAAGCAAACGAATGAATGAAAGAATGAATGTCACCTGCCTTAATGCAGAGCCTCAAGTCAAGTCACACAGCCTAAGTCACCAAACGTGCCCTAGACTGCCCCAGGTGGTCACCTTGCTCAGGGGGCTCTATCCTCTTTTTTCTGGAGCTGTGAGGGGCAGGTTCAGTCCCAGAGCACTGGGTAGGAAGAGCTTCAGCATGGCCATAGTTGAGGGGCAGGCAGACCCCTGTGGGGCTGTCCAAGGTACCCATGATGCCATTTTCAGAAGTAGGATCATGCCCATGACCCCAGGGCCATGAGGAGACTTAGAAAGGGTGAGACCCCCCAGCAAACCTTTGAGAACTTAGGGCTGGCGAGTCAGGATAGAGGTTTGGCACCTGTGTGCATGCGGACCCGGGTTCCATCCCTGGCACTTCATCTGGTTTCCTGGGCATCCCCAGGAGTGATCCCTGAGCACCGGCAGGTATGACTTGAACCTCCTCCCATAAAAGCCAACCTCCAAGAGGCTGGTGTCCTCCCCACCCCCAACTCTTTGGGTGTATGGGCGCGTGGCGAGCACCCCACGTCTCTGACTCCCCTTCCCTGTCGCCCCACATACCTTGCGCTTCTTGGCACGGCCCTCGGCCTGCAGGGTGCGGGTACAGCGCTGCACGCACTCGGAGAAACTGAGGTTGCTGTGGTCGGCGCTGTAGTCCAGGTCAGCCAGCCGCGCCAGGGACAGGATGTAGTTACAGGCGATCCTCAGGATGGCCAGCTTGGACAGCTTCTGCCCGTACGAGTAACACGGCACCTGGGGGTGGAGAAGTGTCAGGAGCCACTGCACAGCCGGGCAGGTGCCGGGCGCTTCCAAGAAGGCGCCACCGCCCCACCCCTGCCCCCAAAAGGGGCCTTTCTTTTCCCTGAGCCCAGTTTTCACTCCCTCCCACCACACAGTCTGTCCACTCGGGTGAGGAGGCCTCTGAGCTCCCATTCTCATCCAAGTCTGCCCCAGGGCCAGCACAGGCCTCCAACCCCCCTCCCAGAGAAGGGGTCTCTCTGACCATCTGTCTCATCGGATTTGGGCCACACCCAGGGGTGCTCGCTCATCACCCCTGGGACCCGGTGGGCAGCGGGGACATACGTGATGGCAGGGATAGAACTACAGTCGGCCATGCGTGCGGTAAGCACCTTAACCTCTGCACTGTCTCTCTGGCCCCGAGAACCTCTACTGGACGCTAAGGTTTCCCTCATCCCCTTGCTCAGAAGCATCATTCGGCTGGACCCTGGCCGGAAGGGGGGGCTCAGAGCTCCTCACTGAACACTGACTTTTAGCCTTCGGAGGCTTGCTCCGGGGGAAGCTGCAGTATCTCACCAGAGCTCGGCTCCGGGGGCTCTTGGGATATCAAGGAGGAAAAGACCAGGTGCGAGGCAGGACACCCTCTTGATTGGCTTTCTTCTTCCTCTCTCCAGAGACCCAGTGCAGCAGGGAGGGCACTTGACCTGCACACGGCTGACCCAGGTCAGATCCCCAATGCCCACTGTGGTCCCCTGGGCCCACCAGGACTCCACCCTGAGCACCACTGGGTGGGGATCAAACCTCTCCCCCGAAAGCCCCTCAATGCCAGCCCCCCCCCCAGACTTGCCACGTGTGTCCGTCTCTCAACGCTCAACGCTGCATGGTGACACACATGTGTATGAGAAGAGAACAGCTCAGTCGCTGCCGTTCTCACAGCAGGAGCCACCCGCCCCCCCCCCCCCCCAGGGCCTGGAGCAGCTCTGATGGTTGCAGACCCACAGACCCTGCTGCGCGCAGTGTCCTGTCAGTCACGGCAGGGGAGAGTCACGTGAGAGGCCCCACGGCGCCCCAGCAAGACATGGCGCCTGCCCTGTCCCTGTCTCCTGCAGCCCCCAGACCACAGCCCACATCATTGGCGGAGGTTCCAGCTCCCCAGCAGCCCAGCAGCTGCCCCTTTGCCGAGGTCAGGACCCCAGGCCCGGTGGCAGTGCAAACCCGGCCAAGAGAAGTGACAGAACGACGCACTTTGCCTGTTCCCAGCCAGAGTCCAGAAAACCCTGCTGGATCGGCCTGGGCAAATAAACAAGGTCGCCAGGTCACAGAGATTCCAGGGGGCCGGGGGGTGGGGGCCCAGCATCTGCACCCCGGGATGGGGATGTATACCTGAGGGAGGCACTGGCCCCCAAATATCCATGTCACCAGAGGCCAAGCCTCGGGCCCTGAGCAGCCAGGTGTCCCAGCAGGAGGGAACAGGGGTCTCAGCGGGACTGTGTGACCCCTAGCAGCTGAGGTCAAGGCCAGCCCAGAGTGCTGGCCAGATGAGGGGCAGTGCTGGTCTAGGTCAGTCACTCTGCCCCTGTGCTGTCACAGTCCAGGGTGTGCTGGAGAACCACCTGTCGAGCTGCTGATGCCTGGCACCATGGCAGCTATTCACAGGTTTCATGCCACGGAAAACTTCCCCCAAATAAAGCCCGTCATCCCGACAGCGACGGGTCAGGCCGGGTCACTCGGCAAAGACCTGGGCACAGCTGAAGCCTCGGGTCCAAGGAAGCACATGGCACACAGCCGTGGGCTCTTGGAGCACTTTGTATGGGATGCCTCTGGGGCCCCTGACACATCCTCTTGTTCTCCTTCCGGGGAAGCCTCACTTCATCTGCCTGATGATGGGCCCAGCTGCCGCTCAGCCCGCGTCCAGCCCCTCAGCAGCTCAGCTTTCTCATCAACAGAGCCGGCTTCAGAATACCCTGGGCATGGGTGAGGGCAGGGGCACAGAGAAAGAGCCAAGGCCTCAAGCCTCCGTCCTTAGGTCTCGGTGCCAACTCCTACCCACCCCTCAGAACCTTAAATGCCTTAAATGCCTTCTCAGAATCCCACCAAGCCCCAACACCACTGTGTCCACAGCACAGGTGGGAGCCCTGGGCGTCTGTGAAAGTGCACCCTTCCCAAAGGGTAGCTCAGCAGGCGGCGGCGACTCGCTGCTGCCTCAGGTCTCAGCCTGCCTCAGTTTCCCGAGAGTAGGGCAGCTTTCCAGTCCTAGGGCCGGGTAAATCTTCAGGCACACACCAAATTCCCAGCACTGGCTGCCAAGCCAGAAGATTGTGCCAGGAGGTCGGGTGCCAGCCAGGCCCATGTCCTCCTTCCCCCATGGCCCTGACAGCCAGGGCTAGCCCATGGCCAAGCTGGACCCTCACAGGGAGCCTGAGAGGATGCAAGCCAGCTGGGCCAGAGTGTGGAATACACCTGGCCATCTGCCCTCCGTGCCCGCCCAGCACCCAGCCCCACTGCCCCTCATGCTCCTGCACCAGAGGGCTTCACTCTCCTGCACCTCCATGGCTAAGCCCTCGCCCTACCTCCGCAGCCTTCAGTGGGAGGGTCAGGCCCACCAGCACTGCCCAGCACTGCAGGTGGACAGCTCCAGAGAGTTCAAGAAGCTGAGGGAGCAGAGATATGGGGGGTCTGGGTGCCTAAGGCGCTCACAGACTGACCCTGGTTCACAGGCTTGGACTCCACAACCCTGGGAGGTCAGCATGTGACAGGCAATGCAGACGCCATGGGACCACACACAGTGGGCAAATGCTGTGAATACAGCAATGTTGGAGTTTGTTGGGCTTCTAGGAGGACATCTTGGTGGGCTCTGGAGGGTGACTAGGAGTCAGCATGGAGGCTGGGGGGAATAATAACAAGGCCCATTTCATTAAATGAACTAATACGCATAACATGATTTGCACAGAAATCAGCACAAAATAGGTTGGTGCTTCCTTTTTTTTTCTTCTTTTTTTTTTCTTTTGGAATGGTGAGCCATACCCAGAAGTACTCAGGGGTAACTCCTGGCTCCGCACTCAGGGATCAGAGCCCAGGAAATCATATGAGATGCCAAGAATCGAACCCAGGTTGACCACGTGTAAGACACATGCCCTCCCTGCTGTGCTAAGGCTCCGCCTGGGGTTCTTGGAAGCTTCTCTGGTTACTGAAATATGACAGACCTTTCGCTTCCACAGCCATGAAGGCTCCGCCCAGCAATAAGGATACTGATGCTTCAGACGCGCTCAGCCCCACGAGCCCCCATTACTCCCCTCGTGTCCTCTTCGCAATAAAACTGTAAGCTAGGAACATCTTTCTCCAGCTTAAGAACAGAGAGTGAAAGTGATTTGTCCACAAGAAAGCAGGCAGGGGCCTGCTGGAAACCGCACCTCTCAGCGCCTGGGCCAGAGATCTTCCACCCAGTCAGGAAGCTGCGAGGCCAACCAGAGTGGCTACCCCAGACCTGACCTCGGCGCTGGGTGAGCCACGGCGGTGTCTCATCTCAGGCAAAGCTGTCCCCCTCCTCCCCTGGGGGCCCATGCCAGAATTCAAGCCTAAGGTTTGATGGGGGGGGGAGGGGGAGGGCGCATGCGCAGAGCCCCCATCCAGCGGATGTGCGCTGTGGCCGTGGGGAGCTGTGGGAGTGACATCCCACCCATCTCAGGAACCAAAAGTGCCCGGCCACAGTTCTTCCCCGCTAGGAGACCCGTCAGATGACCACTGGGGCCTGGTCTAGCAGCTCCGCTGGGGAAGGGACAGAATGGCCTGGGAGCAGCGGGAGCCAGCCCGTCTGTGGCCGTGCGTCCGCGTGTTCTCGCCTGGGGTGCACGTGCCTGCACGTGAACGCGCTCGTGTCTGCACGTGAATGCGCACGTGCCTGCACGTGAACACGCTTGTGCCTGCACGTGAACGCGCACGTGCCTCCATGTGAACGCGCCCGTGCTGTCCTGGAATTCATCATCTCGGTACACGAAGACCACAGGCGTGAAGGAGGCCAGGATAATAATCTCATCTCGGCTGCTGACCGTGACATGCCACACCTGGGTGTGAACGTGTGTATGTGTGTGCGCCCGCGTGTGTGTGCGTGGGGAGGGGGGTTGAGAGGAGTGTGGCACTGCCACGGGAGCCGTTGAGCAAGCGCAGCCAGGAGGGCATTTCAGAAGCCACTGCCAGCTGCCCCACTCCATCAGCTGATCCAGACAAGTTTCTGCCCTTCTCCTGGCGTTGGTTTCCCATTCCGTGGAATGGGCTAATTCAACCAGCCTGACCAAATGAGGAATCTCTCATTTTGGAGAGATGTTAAAGCTTCTGTCTGATGAGCTGCAGTCAGATGCCCTGAGGATGCCCCGACCTGGACCTGCAGGAGGCAGCTGGGGGTAGGGGGTGGGTGGCACTGGGCTGGCAGGCAAAGACCCTTGGTCATGGCCCCCACTGCTGGGCTGCTCTGGCACGGGGCCTGCTGCTCCTGATGGCTTTCCTAGCCACACAGAGAGCAGGTGCTCAGCCTGGCCCTGCCCTTCTGTACCCTGAGCACCGGGGGCTGGGGCTGCAGAACCCTCTAGGCCTGCTGCCTCGAGCCGGCATTGGTGCGGCCATCCCAGTCCCTGACTGTGGCTCTACCACGCCCCCCCCCCCACTTCCACCACTATCACCACCATCTTGCCCAAATCCAACTGAGACGTTTGCTCAAAAGTCAATGCTCTCTTTGCCCCCCCTCCCCAAAATGTAATCCCCTTCCATGAGTGACACAGGCACCCACCAGAGGAAAAGGACAATATGATCTGGGGGAAAAGATGGTGTTCTCTGAAGTGCTTTGTTGCTGACTAAAGCCCAGAGAGGTTGAGTGACTTTCCTGGAGTCCCATAGGAAATCAGCCTCTGAGAAAACCCAAAACACTGACCATTAAAATCAGTCCCATCCACTACCACCCCCACAATCCATCCTAGGGCCCTGGGGTGGGATCAACGGTGGGGACCACTCTTTTCTTAGCTCTTCCACTCTCTGAGAAAAGTAGAAACCAAGAACCCCCATGGAAGCACTAACTTTATCGCAGGGGAATTGCAAATCTGCTCCTCCCGCTGTGGGTAATTCTTGGGCAAACGTTTCTCACCGTCCCTCCAGGGGACACAGCTCCTGATCCACCTAGAACTGGGCTCTCAATGCCCCCAGGGTTGCGAGGGGTGAATCTGCCAGGAAGCAGGTCACCAGCAACTGCCGAGGCCCCTGCTGAGGGGTGGAGGGGTGCGCGCCTGCAGACCCGGCACCGACAGACAGCAGAGAGGGGTGTGCAGCGCCTGCAACCCTGGGCGCAGCATCCCTGCTGGGGATGAAGCGCTGACAAGCTCCCTTACACAGTATTCCCACCGCAGGAGCCCGCCCGCCCTCTCCGCCACTGAGACATACCCACATCACTCCCCATCCCGCCCGAAGGACTCGCTGCCATAAAAGTGCACGCGGAGAGCAGAAGCTGGACGCTCGGAGACCTCCACCTGGCCGATTCTGGCCCCGATATCTCACCCCTAGCCCCAGCTCCTTCTTGCAAACCAAGACCGGTCCCCACGCCACCGTAGCAGGATCCAAACCTGCCCGGGTCCTGGGACCGGCCGCACCGGGACAGCTTTCGCCCGACACACGCCCTCCTGGTCCCTGCGGCCACCCTCACCCCCACGGCGCCCCGGGCGCGGCGAGGGCGCGTGGGCGCGGGTACCTGCTTGCGGAGCGCCTCGAAGGCTGCGCTGATGGTGTGCACGCGCGTCCGCTCCCGCGCGTTCGCCAGGAGCCTCCGCGTCTGCTGCAGGGCTTTGATCTCCGAGGAGGCAGCGGTGGCTTCGCCCGACCGTTTCCTAGGCGACGCGGAGGCATCCGGGTGGTTATTGTAAATTACGTGTGAAATGGACGAGTAGGAACTTTCCCCCGGGCGCGTGGGGGGCGCGGGGCGCGCCGAGGGCTCGGGGGGCGCAAGGGGCGCGGACTGCGCGGGGCGTGCGGGCGGTGCGCACAGCAAGATGCGGGGCCGTAGGCTGGGTTCCCGGAAAGGCTGTGGCTCGGGACCCCCGGGGACCTGGCTCTGGGGCGCCGGCGGCGGCGGCGTGGGGAGTCCCGGCCCCACCGCGCCCAGGGCGAAGCCGCGTTTACGCGCGTCCAGCACCTCGGGCGCCCGGGCTCCCCCGCGCTCCCCGGCTGGGTCCGCGCCCCCACCCGCAGGCACGGCCGGCGCCGCGGGGACTGGCACCGGGGCCGGGCCGGGCTGCAGTCGCGGGGTCCCGTCCCGCAGCCCGTTGGCGGCGGCGGCGGCGGCGGCGGCGGCGGCGGCGGCTCGGTGCTCGGGCACTTCCAAGTCCAGCCGGAAAGTTTTATAGCCGTTCGCACGCCGCGCCGGCTCCTTGCCTTTGCGCTTGAGCTTCTTGAGGCCGTTCAGCTCCTTCATGCACACGGTCTTCCACGGCCCGTCCTCGAGCACCGGGATGTGCTTCATGGCTGGGGCGGTGCGGCGCGGAGCGGCGCGGCGCGGCAGGGGCGCGGGGGCCCGGGACGCGCGCGCTCTGCACCGCCGCGCGCCGGCTCTGGCCCCGCGGCCGCTGCGCTGCGCGCCTCGCAGCCTCGGCTCCCCCTGCCGGCGCCCGCCCGCCCGCCCGCCCGCGCCGCCCCTGCACCCCCGCGCCCCGGCCAGCTGCGCCGCGGCTCCGCGAAGCCGCCGGGCTGTCCGGCCCCCGAGCGCTCAGGGTGTCATCTGAAGTCGCGGCCGCCGTGCCAGCATTTCTGGAGCACGCCCGCTGCGCTCCATCTGTGTTTGTTTAGCCTCAGTTTACACAGAAGCCCGGTTCGCGAGATCACTCAGCGCCGCCGCCTCCCCGGCCCGGCCGCCGAGCCCAGCGCCTTTAAAGGAACAGGAAGCATTTTTCCAAACAGCTGGGCGGCCGGCCGCCTCCTTTGTCCGCGCGCGCTCCGCTCCCCGCCCCCTCCCCGCTGCCCCCGCGCTGGGCTCCCTGCAGACCCGGTCCGAGCGCGTGCTGCCGCGCCCCCTCCGCGCTCCCCCCGTCTCCCTCCTACCTGGCCCTGCTGGGCCCTCGGGGACGCAGCCCCGGCCCTCCCTAGCCCGCCCCTCCAGCTTCACCCCTGCACCCCATTCAGAGGTTGCGCGGGGCGCTGGGGTCGGTGGGGAGATGGGACCCGCGCAGCGAAATTCAATAAGGGAGTGAAGGGGTCGATGGGGGGAAGGGGGAGACCCCGGAGCTTGCCCTTGACCCTCTTTCCCCTCTCCCCACCCCCATTGCCGGTCCTGCTGGAGCCTACTGGAACCGTGAGACCTCCCCGCGGGGGCCGTTCTGCAGAGGAACGTGCTTCCCCGCGAGGCCAGGGACACGGGCGGCTTCGGTTCCGACAGATGGAGCGCCCGTGAGAAGGCAGGCTCCTCGGGGCAGTTGTGGGTCTCAGAGGGCAGAGGCAGGGCCATAGGGCTCCGCGAGGACAGGGGTGGAACTCTGGGCGCCAAGGGCTCAAAGGGCAGCTCTGGGTGTGAAGGCTCCCGGCGGAGGCAGAAGCGGGCTTGGGGGGCGGGGGGGGGGGGGGCGTTCTACCCAGCAGAGCTTCACTCATAACAGAGAGACCTTGGCCAAGTCACCTCTGCTCTCTACAGCCAGGCGTGATCCTTGTCCCTGACGCAGGAGCGGGCTGGGAGGGCCACTGAGGGAGGGCTTATGTGCAGAGCACTCCAAACAGCACGGGCCAAGAGGCAGCTTTGCAAGGGCTCAGTTACTGGGGTGGAAGTAGAGACCCCAAACTGTGTACCATGGCAGGAGTGAGAGCACCCCAAGGCTGCTCTGATGGACCAGCAGCTCCCCTCATGGCCTCTGTCCCAGAGAGCTGGGGGTTCTTCCTTCACCTTGTTTTAGTGAGGATTTTCCTGAGGCCGGCAGCGCTCACAGAGAATGCCCCAGATGGGAGGTTGGAGGATGCTGCAGGTGGGTATCACCCTCCCTTGCGTAGTACTGTGAGGGAGGAGAGGGTCAACATCCTTGTGGATGTGTCCCCTGATTCTGAAGCAGCAGTCCCCAGCACACCAGCATCTCCCCAGAGCATCTCTCTGCCCTGAAGACCAAAGTTGAGTCCTGGAGAGAAACCTATGAGGGGGGTAGGGAGGTAGGGAGGGAAACCTATGAGGGGGGTAGGGAGGGTTGCTAAATGATAACTCACTCCTAGTGGGCACGGGGGATCAAATAGGATGCGGTGTCTGGGGCGGGGGGGGGGGGGGGGGGGAGGGGGCGGGGGGCGGGGAGACTCAAATCCGGGTCTGTGATGTGCAAAGCAAGCACCCTACCTGCTGTACTATCCCTCCGGCCCCACTGTAGAGAAATCTTTATTCTCTGCCATTTACCCACCCAGCCCCGGCTCCCAGGGCACCCACTTGGTTCACTGCCCCCCTCAGCTCCCTCCGCAGAGGGGTCTCTCCCTTTCCCCTTGAATAACCTCCTGTCCTTGAGTAAGCCCTGGCTGCTCCAGGCACTGCCTCGTCACTCTTGCGTGCCTCTGCTCGGTGCTCACTCAGATGCTGCTGCAGCACATCCTAACCAACCCCCCACCCAAGAAGGAGCAGTTGCCTCCCTGCCTATCGCCAGCCAGAGTCATGCCCAGGAAATCCTTGCAGGAAGACAGCCAGACCTCAGGTTTGGGACATTGTCCAGAGTCCAAGCAGAGTGTGAGCCCCCAGTTTGCCCTCTGCTCCTAGAGCTGCCCCTTCAGAGCTGGGAAAGCCACGTTTGGCGCAATCCAAATCTCCGTCGCTTCTCTCTCTCTCTCTCTCTCTCTCTCTCTCTCTCTCTCTCTCTCTCTCTCTCTCTCTCTCTCTCTCTCTCCTCTCTCTGCGGAGACCCTGGGAACAGACTGGCCCAAGCATTCCAGCAGGCTGTGTTGGGCACGTACCTAAAGGTATGAACGGTGGTCTGGGCATGTGGGGACGAGGGAAACGCTGCCACCCAGGTTCCACACAGTCCAGCACCAACCCCAGACTCGGGGTGCAGCAGCAGTTTGGCACGTTTGTGGCTCCGGAGGGGTGCGTGGCAGCTTGGAAGATTGTTCCTAAAGAAGCCCAACTGTCCTTGAAGATCACCCGTCCTGCTTTGAGTAGAGACTCCCCTGCTTTGGGAATGCGGGGCTCCTGAGCACCCCCATAGCTGAGGAGATCCCACTGGTGCCTGGAGAGAAGGGGTGAGGAGGGGAGAGCACAGGAGCGGTGCTGGTCTCACATGGGCTCCCCTCTCCTGGGTCTGCTCCTTCCCCCTTCCCAGGCTGTCCCTGCTCTCTGGGCAAATGTCAGAGCCTCAGGTTGGCATCAGGTGAGCGTGGGAGGGATCTTCGCTAAGTCCTTCACTGCTTGCGGTCTTGTCTGTCTCTGCTCCTCTGAGCTTTGGTTTCTTATTGGGCCTTCTAGATGGACTGGCGTGGCAAGAACAGAGAGCAAACCCTACAGGACACAAGAGCAGGTTCCCTGATATTGTCGTTCTCAGCCTACTTACCGTGTGGCTAAGCCTTCTGGGTTCAGATCCCACGGCCCCCTACACTGAGGGCTCCCCTTCTGCCTTCTTCCCTCAGCCTCCAGAAGAGACCAGCCAGGCAGCGCCCCCTGGTGGTACACTCAATTGGCACACGAGGTCCCTTCCACAAGGAACTTCTTGTAGACTCTGGAGGCGGGAGTGGCGGTCCAACAGTGACAGTCACACATGCAGGAGTTTCCCTCCTCTCCAGACGGCCTCATGCCTCCGAGTTGAGATAATAAAGACACCCCAAGAAAGTCTCTGTATACATTCAAACCTCCCACATTTTATGAGTTGTTCAAGGTTACCCTGAGCTAGAAAGATAGTGCTCCCGGGAGGATTCCACTCCCCTAAATCAGCTTTCCTCAAACTTTTCACATCTGAGGATTCCCATCCCAGTTCACAGACCAGCTGTTAGAACCGAGTCGTAGAGTGAGATACAGTTTCAAGGTTGTTCATGCTTGGGTTTTAGTCATAGAATATTCTGATACCCTTCCCTTCACCAGGGTGCATTTCCCACCTCCAATGTCCCCAGTTTCCCTCACGCCATCCTCCCCACCCACCCCCTGCCTACAACTGCTTCTATGGCAGATACTTTTCCTCTCTCTCTCTCTCTCTCTCTCTCTCTCTCTCTCTCTCTCTCTCTCTTGCTCTCCCTCCCCTCTCAGACTAATGGTTTTCAACCTTTCTACACCTATGGACCAGCACCAGTCCATGATTCGACCACAGTAAACCACCAAACCACCATCCCACATGACGAACGAACAAGAACAAAGCTGGAAGATGGAAGGATCATAGACTTACAGGGAAGAAATACAGAAAGGCCAGGCAGGAGTGATCCTGCCAGACAGGGCATGATTGCAGCTCTATTAGGAAAACCCATTCTACAGATAAGAAAACTGAGACTCCAGTAGAAAATAAGGAACCCCAAGCCCACAAAGCCCAGAACCAAACCTTGAACCACTCTGCCTGCTGCCTCCTAAGAGATCCAGGGAGAGGAGAAACTCCAGCAAGCTGCCAGACAGTGGGCGGCTCACTGTCCACCTCCTGACATCAACCTAGTGGCCCTCCAGCATCTCTGGTTTCCAGTCAGACGGCAGCAGCACTGACTCTAGACATAAGAAAATTGCGGCATAATATGGCCCTGATCTTGGCGGGTCCCAGCCAGGTACCCCCCAGGGTGCACAGGCATCAGCCCCAGTGGGGACAGGCCACTCCGTAGGTGACCCTCCTAACTGCCACCTCTGGGGCCACACAGGATGGAACCCTAATGCTGCCTGAAGTTCTGCCTTCTGAGCCTGGACTCTGTGTTCCTGGCTGCTCCCACAGTCCCAGGCTGGGTGTGTCCCTCACTGGAGAAAGGAAGGACTGCCCAAAGGGAGTTCCTCTGGGGGAAACACGTGTTCGGCAGCCCCTGGGGGTGTGCTCGGGCTGGGACTGCCCAGGGGAGGGAGTGGAAAGCTGAGTCCAGGCAGCCTGGTGGTCTCGATGCCCCTCCATCCCTCTTGGTCCAGTGGCCTCCCTGCCACCCTGACCAACAGGAGACGGTGATGGGACAGGCCCAGGGGCAGGATGCTCTCCGTCTTCATTCTGCTTTTTCCTGGGGTCCTCGGGGCTGGGAGAGCCCCCGGATGGGCTGTGTGAGACTCCCCTGGGCAGGAGGCATATCCACGTAGCAGCTTCCCCAACAGAGAGCCCAGCCCCATGGGTCCCTGAGTTCCATCCCCTTTGGTCCATGAGGAGGGTGGCAGGGATCGAACGGTCCTCAGCAAGCCGTGGCAGGAGCGTGGCCAGTAGTGTTGATGGGAATGTTCACTGGTAAAGATGTGGACACTTTTCAAAATCCTAAAAATTGAACTTCCATATGACTCAGCAGTTCCACTTCTCAGCATCTACTTTAAGGACCTAAAAACACTATTCTTGGGGCCAGAGCGATAGTACAGCAGGTAGGGCATTTGCCTTGTACGTGGCCAACCCAGGTTCAATCTCCATTATCCCATATGGTCTCCCAAGCACCGCCAGGACTAACTTCTGTGTGCAGAGGCAAGAGTAACCCCTGAG